GGGTCCGGGCTGGGGATTCGAACCCACCACCTTAGGTGTACGTGGCTGGCGCCTTAGCCGGTTGAGCTATAGGCGCCGAGCCAGAACATTTATCTTAAGCCTTGAAAACTGTCCAGAATGCCAGTCTTTAATATCAAGCTGACTAATAAACACTTTTCCCATCTGACAGTGTCTGAAGAGTTAGTTATCTGTGTCAAGCAGTATCTTAACTGTGCCACGTGACATCCCCATAAAAGATTATTCTTAGAAAACTGTAGAAGGACTTATAAGAACCCATGGTCCTACACCCTGATGTTAGTATTTATTTACCAATCTTGAAAACTATGAATAATGTTGCAGAAAAAATCATGGCAATCCTCCTGTTATTGAAACAAGCCTAAACAGAGACTTGAACTCGAAAATAGAAACTGAATTAGTATGTGTTACAACTCATTTTAAAGATCGTGGAAATCCTCCATTAGCCTCTGAAAACTCCTTGCAAGACAGAAATCCAAAACAAGTGGCTGAAGTGTATTTGGATATTAGGAAGCTCCTACAACTTCTTGTTGGACAACAAATAAACCCTATATTGGCTTTATGCAATATTGTGAGGAACAAGACAGTACATTTTGATTTGCTTCACAAAGATGTCTCCCTTTAGTATTTTATCCTGGCACTGTCCTAGGATAGTGTCCTAGGATTTGTCCTAGGACAAATCAGCACACTGTACTTATTTTTCCTTCTGTAATATTTTAACTATAAATTGAATTAATGAATTATTAATAATAATATAACTGTAATTATAATTAACGATAATTATAATAATTATAGTTAGTTAGGTAAACATATTATTTCACATTAAAAAACAAAGAACCACTCATGCTACTACAGATTTGTGATGCTATATGGGCCAGATCTTCAAAATAGTTAATAACAAATTATTTTTTTTGAGACAGCCTCAAGCTGTCACCCTGAGTAGAGTGCCGTGGCATCACAGCTCACAGCAACCTCAAACTCCTAGGCTCAAGCAAGTCTCCTGCCTCAGCCTCCCAAGTACTTGGGACTACAGGCACCTGTCACAACACCTGGCTATTTTTTGGTTGCAGCCGTCATTGTTGTTTGGTGGACCTGGGCTGGATTCCAACCCACCAGCTCAGGGGTATGTGGCTGGTGCCTTAGCCTTTTGAGCCACAGGTGCTGAGCCTTAATAATTATTTTTTTATTAGGGTTTCCCTAATGAGTTTTCAATACTACATTTTAAGAGAACTGAACCTATCTCCCATTTTCACTGTAATCAGAAAAACCAGAATTAAATTTTATCTTAAAATACATTTAATAAAAAGAACCCACAGCTTTACATATTTTACATATGTAGAATATTTACAAATTCCTTCTATAGCATTTACTTAATGTTTATTATTTTTTTCATTATTTGCCTTTTGTAGTAGTTCTTGCTGTAGTAAAATATTGTCCAGTGTTCTCTTTAACTAAAATATTAGCTTCTTGGGCAATCCTCCTAGAAAATAAATAAGTAAATAAATAAATAGGTCAATCACACTTAACAATGTGCACATTCTTATAGCACTTTTTTTTTTTTGAGACACAGGTTCACTATGTTGCCTGGTAGAGTGCCATGGCATCACAGCTCACAGCAATCTCCAACTCTTGGCTTAAGTCTCTTGCCTCAGCCACCCAAGTAGCTGCGACTACAGGTGCCAGCCACAATGCCTGGCTATTTTTTTGTTTGTAGTTGTCATTGTTGTTTAGCAGGCCTGGGTTGGGTTTGAATCCACCAGCTCTGGTGTATGTGGCTGGCGCCTTAGCTGCTGTACAAGCGCCGAGCCACTTTTTTTTTTGAGATAGAGACTTGTTTTGTTGCCCTTGGTAGAGTGCCGTAGAGTCATAGCTCATAGCAACCTCAAACTCTTGGGCTTAAGCTATGCTCTTACCTTAGCCTCCCAGTAGCTGGGACTACAGGCACCTGTCACAACACCCAGCTATCTTATAGCACTTTTATTTTTTATTTATTTATTTTTTTTGCAGTTTTTGGCTGGGGCTGGGTTTCAACCCACCACCTCTGGCATATGGGGCCAGCGCCCTACTTCTTTGAGCCACAGGTGCAGCCCAGAGAGAGGTTTTTTTTTTTTTTTTTTTTTTTTTTGTAGAGACAATGTCTCACTTTGTTGCCTTTGGTAGAGAGCTGTGGCGTCAGAGCTCACAGCAACCTCCAACTCCTGGGCTTAAGCAATTCTCTTGCCTCAGGCTCTCGAGTTGCTGGGACTACAGGCACCCGCCACAACACCTAGCTATTTTTTGGTTGCAGTTCGGCCGGGGGCCAGGTTTGAACCTGCCACCCTCAGTATATGGGGCTGGCACCCTACTCACTGAGCCACAGGCGCCGCCCTATAGCACTTTTAACCAGTCACCACATTCCAACTACATTATTTCACTGACTTAGATTTTTCTTTTTTTTTTTTTTTGAGACAGAGCCTCAAGCTCTCGCCCTGGGTAGAATGCCGGGGCATCACAGCTCACAACAACCTCCAACTCCTGGGTTCAAGGGATTCTCCTGCCTCCATCTTGCAAGTAGCTGGGACCATAGGTGCCTGCCACAACACCTGGCCATTTCTTGGTTGCAGCCGTCATTACTGTTTGGCAGGCCCGGGCTGGATTCCAATCCGCCAGCTCAGGTGTATGTGGCTGGTGCCTTAGCCGCTTGAGCCATAGGCACCAAGCCAGACTTAGATTTTTCAATAGCATTTGTTAAACACTAAGCATATAACATACGAAAGAAATATGTGAAGGAAAAAAGGGATACATTAATAGTTCTCGTAACTATGAAGTATACTTACACCTGCTTGAAGTAATCTCAATGAAAGTAATACAGCTAAAACAGCATATTCTATTTTATACAATTTAAATTTATAAAAAGTAAATAGACCACGAGCTACATTTCCTTTGGCCATTAACTACCTATGAGCTATTTGCAATTTCCTGAATTTTTCTTTTCTTTCTTTTTTTTTTATAAAAATGGGATTTTACCTTGTTCCAAGGCCTCTGTTCTTTTCCGTTTTGTTGCCATAGCTGGATGTGACTGTTCCTTTAAGGTTTCCACGGGACAACTTGGTCTTGGCAGTTGACATCCAGGTGTTGGCCCTGGCCGATTACTGAAATACTTAGTTTTCAATGCCTTTTAAAAAGGTACCAAAGAAAGGTTTTTACGTGAGCATCCGAAATGTGTGAAGGATAATCTAACCTCTAAAGCTGTCTGGAACATTAAAAATACTATGTGAATACCCCCATTCCCAAAATAAAACAAAATGAATGTCAAATATTTAGACATGCAAGCTACCACAAATAAATGCCCAGGATTCAAAGACTGGCTAAAAATTCCATTACTACCAGAAAAAAGAGGCTCAGTAACCACAGCACAGTGGTTACGGCCCCAGCCACATACATTGAGGGTGGTGGGTTTGAACCTGGCCCCAGCCAGCTAAACAACAATGACAACTGCAACAAAAAATAGCCAGGCATTGTGGCTGGCACCTGTAGTCCCAGCTACTGG